TGTGGTGGTCCTCTGGGGTCCTGACCATTGATGAACAGGGTGAAAGGAGGCTAACAAAGTATGCAGAGAAACAGATGGACTACAATCTAACTGTAGAACTACAAAGTGCACCTATATGGTAAGTGGAGATGATAAAACAGACAAACAATGTAGATTCAGAAAATGTCACATTATAATATGAGGCTGTGTGTGTGAGTGTGTAGATTATAACAGACATTTCAATTTTAAACTACTTACTTCATACATCATACTTTTGAACTACAACATTAACTCCAGTATTAATATGTTCCATAAACAGTTCTGTCACATATGTAGTGATACGAAAAACTATTTGATTTATGATGTGAAATATTTTCCTGGAGGCATTATTCAGCCCTCACATGTAGCATTAAAGGATGTAAGTATTCACAACCATCAGCTTCACATTTTAAATTATAAATCAAAGAAACAGTCCTACAGGTTATTAGAACTGCATAGAAAAGATAATAGAACTCTCTGGAACAGACATCAAGGACTAGGAAATCAATTATCGTGAAGAGAAGGCTGAAAGATTGCTATGATGTTAGAGCTCTCATTTTCCACTTCATCACAGATGTGTGGAGAAGAGGAATGGGTGAAAATCACCACATCAGTCCACTAGGAGTGAAAAAATACCGTCTCAGTGCTCATTCCTGAATTAGTATACATAAACTCCTGCTACCTCTTATATTAAGTCAATGTGACATTGTGGGCTAAAAAGGCACAGTGACACTTGAGTAACCTAACACTGTCAAACTGCCAAACTGGACTGCAGTACATAATCAACTGTGTGGGTGCACTTCATTTACATCATATGGACAAACGTTTTGGGACACATACAGTAGCTTTTATGGCATCCCATTCTAAATCCATAGGCATTAATGTGGAGTTGGTACCTTCCACTCCTCTGGGAAGCATTCTACAAGATTTTGGAGTGTGTCTGTGGGAATTTTTGCCCATTCACCCAGTAGAGCATTTGTGAGGTCAGATACTGATGTTGGATGAGAGGGCCTGACTCTCAATCTCCATTCTAGTTTAACCCAAAGATGTTCGATGGGGTTGAGGCCAGGGCTGCGTGCGGGCCAGTCAAGTTCTTCCACACCAAACTCACCCAACCATGCCTTTATGGAGCTTGCTTTGTGCACTGGGACACAGTCATGCTGGAACAGAAAAGGGCCTTCCCCAAACTGTTCCCACAAAGTTGGAAGTATACAATTGTTTAAAATGTCTTGGTATGCTGAAGCATTACGATTTGCCTTCACTGCAACTAAGAGGCCTAGGCCAGTCCCTGAAAAACAACCCCATAGCATTATCCCTCCTCCAACAAACTTTACAGTTGGCACAGTGCAATTAGGCAGGTAACATTCTCCTGGCATTCGCCAAACCCAGACTCGTCTATCAGACTGCCAGACAGAGAAGCGTGATTCGTCACTCTACAGAATATGTTTCCACTGCTCCAGAATCCAGTGGTGATGTGCTTTACACCACTTCATCTGACACTTGGCATTGTGCTTGGTGATGTAAAGCTTGTATGCAGCTACTTGGCCATGGAAACTCATGTGCTGAAGTTAATGCCAGAGGAGGTCTGAAACTCTGCAGTTATGGAGTCAGCAGAGCGCAAGCAACTTTGATGCAATATGCGCCTCAGCACTCTGCGACCTGGCTCTGTAACTTTACATGGTCTGTCACTTCGTGGGCGAGTTGCTGTGGTTCCTAAACGCTTCTACTTTTCAATAATACCTAATGTCTAGGAGGGAGGAAATTTCACAAACTGACTTGTTGCCACAGTGGCTTCCTATTACAGTACACACTTAAAAAAAGATGGTTCTTCAAGGATTTTTTGTAAAGAAAATTGTTCTATATAGAACCATGAATGCTCAAAGAAACCTTTGCATGAAGAATGTGCTGTAGACAGTTCTATATAGATCCTTTTTGAAAAGGGTTCTATATAGCACCAAAAAGGGTTATTCTATTATAACAAGCTTGACACTGTAACTATAGAAGAACCTTTTTTGGTGCTACATAGAACCCTTTTCAAAAAGGTTCTGCACTATATCTAGGTCACTATTCCAATTTAATTTGTTATATTGACCATGTTAAGACCTTTGCATAAAAAAATGTCAGATATGTTTAGGTTTTTTTTGGGTCTTATCCCTTTCAATGTTCAGACTAATCTTTCTGATCTTCTCATAAGAGACTTTTGCACAAACTTGTGAAGTCCACTGCCAGCTCAAGTGCAGGCTGTTATTAAAGCAAAATGGGAGATATCAAATGCAAAAAAGAATCTGAAATTCATGTTAAAATTTCAAAGACTCTACTACTACGTTTCACCAACAACAAAATTTGTAATGAAAAATCATGTATCCAGTTAGAAACCAAAAAATCTGGAAATGCTAAATACTGGGAGGAATCAGATAAGTGCCATGTGCTCCAGGCATTTGGATGTTTCAGATCAAACCTACAAATGGAGGTGCCAGTTAGTCAGTCAAAGCAGTTCTCCTCACTCAGGTTTATCTTTTGTTGAAAACAGATTCAAATAAAAGAGACCCTTCATTTATCCTGCAGTGAATATGCTACAGATGCCTAAAAATATATGCATTTAATTATCTACCACTGCCTTGTGCTGAGTACTTGCGTACTCAATTGCGTTAGTAGATGAATCACAAATCAAATAAGGGTAAAAAGTTCATAATGGCACATGTGGTAGTTTTTTTCATGTGTTTGGAACATCAAGACTGAAGAAAAGAAATGATAAAGTGGAGTAAGAATTTCATCTAAGAACATCAATCCTTAGATGGGGACTGAAGTCATGAGTGAGGGCCTGATTCCCACTAGTAGACTCTCTGTACTCTTCAAATTTGCACAGTTAAAGCTAATCACACAAGTGTAACCCAAATCAAAGTGCTCCAATGTGTTAATGGCAAGAAAAAGAAGAAGGAGCAGAAAAAAGGAAAACAATTCTAGCCAAAGTTGAAACCAGCAAGGTAGCAAACTGCAAAAGAGGCTTTTGGTTTCTCTGGATACAGGAAAGCAAAGTTACAACATAAGAGCTACATTATCCTATTCATCTTAAGCACATGCTGATGGAAATACAGGGTTATGTTTCTTTGCACATACTGTAGACACACACACAGAGTAAAACAGTGTCATATAGCCTTTTTGTGTTGGTCTTTCATTCTCCTGAAACTGAAGGGGAAAAGCACAGTAATTTCAAGGATTCTGTCTTGAGAGTAACAAAAAGCCTTAAAAAATGAGGTTTAATTGCAGTAGTGGACTGCAATGGATTTATTCAAATATTTTAATTTTCTGTCATACTGTAATAAAGAGGTACAACACTCAGTTGGTGCTCAACACAAGTTTGATGGTGAAAAACAAAGCAGAGTTGACACAAGGGCTTTCTGATTGGTGAGGCATGTCACAATCCGCTATAAAAATGCTGTTTTCACTTTCCAACCTGTAACCCCAAACCCCACAGCTCTTGTTGTTGGATTAAAGATTCAAGAGGGTTTTAAAAGGCCAAATGCATAATACATACCATATGCTGCGGGAAGGAAATGTGAGAGTCAGTGCTTCTATAGGTCACATGTCTAACCACAAAGCAAAATCAATAGCATTTTTTATGATACTCATGTACAGTACCTGAAAATGCCAGCTTATTGCTGTCAGGCCTGTGCTGACCTGATCTAAGTGTTGTGTAAATGTTCTTTCCCCCATCACAAGTTGAGAACAGTCCACCAATTAAACATATCCAAACAGCAGTGTTCCTGTGGTCAGAAACTGAGCAATAATGAACAGCTAGAAGTTGACTTATACAAACTGTGTGTGGAAATGGAAAATGTTACTGTTCCTAAGCGCACACCTACAGGAGTATCAATAGAGCATAACAGAGTATGTGGTTCCTAAACACTTCTACTTTTCCATAATACCTAATGTCTAGGAGGGAGGAAATTTCACAAACTGACTTGTTGCCACAGTGGCTTCCTATTACAGCACAATGTTATTGAGGTCTGGTCTCTAGTGGTGGTTAACATATTGTTCTGAAAACACCAGCAGCTTCTTTTCGTTTGATTTGCAAATTTTCTATTTCCTTTTCTCAGTGACCTTCACAGTGGAAGGATGGACAGAAACACCTGTTGATTTTGTCAGAGCTGAAGCAAGTGTGAAGCTTGATTTTCTCCCATCTCTCAAAGATGAAAGCTTTCAGTACTGTTTATCTGTGTTTTGGAGGTCTACCAGGTCTTGCACTGCTGTCAGGAGTCCCATTTTCTCTATATCTTTTATTAATCAACTTTTTAGCTCCAGGTTTGAAAATGGCTGTTTTTCCTCTTAGTTTTCTTTACTTATGTCAAATCTAATCTTGTCCAAAATATCTCCTGAAAAATTACCAAGTTTCCGGTAAATGTGAAGATAAAGTAAAGGGTGATTTTGCACAGTACTGTAGATGTGCGTAATGAAGCGGACAGCAAGTGTACAAATGGAAATGTTACATACTTCAAAAACAACCATCTTCATTTATAAAAAGCTAATACTATTACTTCAAGTAACATTAAACAATCATCCACACCCAAAGAAACAGCTAAAAGAGGGCACTGGGGCACTGATGTTGCTTTTGGGTTCTGTACCAGTGGTTCAGCGAATAAGGGCTCTGAAGGATTTGGCAGTTGATGGCTCTTGAGGGACACAAAGAGATGTTGATAAAGTCCCTCAACACAGCAGGCTTAAAACATCTCTGCCTTTCCTTTAGCCACTGTTGATGTGGCCTTGAGCAAGGCACTTAACCTCATGTTACCCCAGGAGGTTTAAAGGTACAGTGGCTTAAAAAGGCACTGGCTGCTCCATGGTCCTTCCATGTATGAACAGTGGTTGGATGGTTAAAACACAACAGCTTGTGCTCTCTATAACAGTTCAAGACCAAATTTTGTCCTATAGATATTACCTGTCTGTAATTTGCCCATCAATACACCATTGCCCCACTTCCTTACCAGCAGCACACTGTTCCTCATCTGCTCCATTTTCACAATCTGTCTCTCCGTCACAGCGCCAGGAGAGTGACACACACTTGTTTGTACTGCCGCCACAGTCAAACTTCTCAGGGGGACAGGTTTGCCGACCTGAAAGAGGAAGGAAAAAAGCCACAAACATCTTAATAATGGTTAAGCCCTACATTCCAAAGCTAAGCTAATAAAAGTTCACATGCTGACTGACTACTCACTGTGCTGCAGGGTTTTTATTAATACATTTTTACTTGAGCTCCAAAATGTGCAATGCAATTCTGTATCACGCAGGCTGCCTGCCAACCTCTTAAAACAGACCACTGGCAGAGGTTTGATCATTAGATCACAGAAGATTTGAGAAATCATCTCCATCAATTATACATCTCAGAGTCCTCCTGACTGGAATTACAACTCTACAGTGCCATCCTGGCACCTCGCATTTCAGATTTTTATTTCTCAGACTTTCTTCTTGTTTTTTTCCTTTATGAGTTCCTTGACAGGGAAACATTTCCTATTCAGAGCCACAGAACAGAGCAGACCTCCGGCTGCAATCCAAGCATATCTGGAGTTATCTTTAAGCACGGGCGGTACATCTCGTTCCGTGTGTTCTTTTAATATAGCTTTCTTTGAGGAAATGTGGAAAAGAAGCTGGTGAATCGCATTTGAGATATCTCGACATCAGCAGAAAGTCATTCTGGCTCGGCAAATGGACTTACAGCCCTCATCTCCAGAAGCTATATTGGACTTGAACTGTGGTGTGGGGCTGAATAGAGTAGGAGCCCCACACCTGCACTGAGAAAAAGCAGGGTTATGTAGGAGGCCTGTAAAAAGTCACAGAGTGATTTTCAAAGTGTGTGCATTTAAATGAGCAGAATGGCCCATTGTGAGTGGCTGGCTGGCTGACTGATGGAGAATAGCATGGCCTCCTGGGAAACGCTGTCCTTCTTATTGCATCTTCTTCCCCTGTCCGTCACATTCCCCATCTAAAGACTACCATGCCCACAAGACTATTCAGGTCTTCATACTGACTTCAACCATTGTTATGCAAAAAACTTGCAGTTTCTTTTATTTTCAATTTGTAATACAATTAATATGTTTGATTAGACCGGTCAGTAATCTGATGGTGCTGCTACAAACAGCAGTCTCATTTTATCTGGATGAATAACAGCCTGCTACTGCTTATCTATAGATGCTTAAATTATAGCGAAGCTCAACTGATTGCCAGCAAATGTTAGGTTTAAGTTTTCAATCAAAGTTAGGCTTAGGGTTAGAGTGAGTGATTAGACATAGAGGTGGGGAAAAGCTGATGTGAATTTATAAGATAATTAGTTGAAAGTAAATGAATGACAAATGCAATGACAAGCATGTGCAAAGCATATAGAACACAAAATAAGTGCCAAAAGGCTTCTTTGGATTGCTGCCACAGAAGAACAATTTTTAGTCCACTAAAGAACCTTTCAATGAATAGCTATGGCAAACATGACAAACCGTTTTAAAGTTTAGATAATCTTCACATCATGTAAACTTTCAATACCAACAGAACATAAATAATGTAAAGGTTCTACGTCAGTAAAACCAGCAAGTTCAGCCACTGAAACATCAAACTTAACAAATCACTGGAATGGTACTGAAAATGAGAAACCTAGGTCAAAAATGCCATTTTTTTCCTTCACTCTCCTGTGTCTGTCAGCACAGATGTGTTCAAAGTAAAGTCCCTGCTAGCAAGTTAATGCCTCTGTACTCTGTTGAAATGGCAGAACACCCCCCCCCCAAACGGCAGCCAGTCAAAATGCAAATGAAATGCAAAGTATAACTAAAAAACAATTTTATATATTATTGACTTGGATGACCAACTATTCTCTATCGCTGAGGATGTTGGCATATTCTGTAGCCTGTCTACTATAAAAAAATTCAGAAAGTATTTAATGTATGTGTTTTAATTTATTTTCAGTTTGTATTTGTCCTATTAATAGATTTTATCAATAATAAAAGTGCATTTTCTTTATTACATTGTAGTTCAATGTTTAGCAAGTTAGCAAAAAAAAAAAAAACTTCTGTATTTGTGAATCTGAGAGCACATACAGGCGTTGGGCACAGACGTTTACATAGGCGTCTGCCAAAATACACCTAGTTGAGATACTGGAGGTGTGCATGTTGTTGCCTACAGAGGTGTGCATGTTGTTGTACACTATAATTACTACTACCCTACCTACTGTGAGTTTGAAAATTCTCCCACAGCATGGCCCTATCACAGTCAACCATGCAGTAGGACCCTCCAGCAAGCACCTCACTGCTCTATGTGACAGATGGATAACGGAGGTCAGCACATGTAATTGGAAAAAAGAGACGCCTCTGGCGCTGGAGGGGACGGAGTTCAGTGCTGAATGAAAAGGGGGACGGCTGGTAATTGTGAAAGGGATGCACTCTGAAACAGTCTTAGTCTGTCTTACACAGCGAGCCTTTTTTTGCTTATGCCATCTATAATTCGTCACTTGAAAAATGTCTAGAAATCACAAATGACAAAGCAATGAAAGTCTGTGGCAAACAATGAGGAATTCTTCTGTGGCTCAGAGAGGAGAGATACTGATATCATTTTGAACATCTTTACAGATCATTTCACATGGAAAGCATCATGCAGAATAAAGGTTTGTGGATAGGAGCAGTGTGCCCGCACTAGCTAAAGTCTTTTCCAGCACCCAGTGAAACTCATTCTGTCTTCAGCTCAATTCCTCCTCAGGGAACAAAGTTATGAGAAGACCAGCAAGAGAGGGAGGTTATTAGATTATCATATTTATCTAACAATACAAATCACCATCATCTGGGTACTGATGGAATGTAGTCAATAGCAGCAGGGAAATGAAATTTCAGAGATGTACATGGATAAGCCCAAAAAATCATTATTTCCCTGCAAAAAACCCAGATCATATTAGGGAGACAACTTTAACAAATAACATTTAGGAGATGGATTTCACAGCTACAAATCGTATGTGGGTGGGTAAGCGCATTACAGTACCATATACGGTATGATAGCATTCCATCTCTTGCATGCACATATACACAGTTTCACAACAAGGTTTACTATGATTACTTGCAGCACATGACACTGCCAAACTGTAATTTTAAGTAGCTACTAACTAAATTTAGCAGCTCAAAGAATAATCTCTAAAATTCTACAGTAAGCATCCTTAAAGCCACGATCATGGACTACCTGACAGGCCATTATTTTTACCACTGAGGCTTTCAGCTAGCACTTACATGGCCACTAAAGCCTACAACATAAAAGATACACCTGCCAGAGTCACTGTTAATAAAGTCTCAATCCACGAGGACTGTGGTGCAGTTTTGTCAATTCCTACTTGGTGCTTTAGGGCGTTTTCACACCTGAAAGTCTGGACCAAGGTCCGAACCAAGGTTCATGTTTTTGTTACAGTGTATACATTTGATCCAGTTAGTTTTGCTTTCACATTGCAATTTAACATAAGTGCATTTCTCTATACTTGACATTTACTGGTTTGCAGGGGGGCAGGCGTCTGACAATGGCATGCTGTCAATTCACCAGGTAGCACTTTCCATTTGAATGGAGAAAAATGAATATCCTCTCTCTCATCCTCTCAGAAAATAGGAATACGTTTTGGTGATTTTTTTCAAATTGACTTGACATATTCTCGAACTGTACCACAAACCCTTCAAGCTTCGAGTACAGCTCGGCTTGACCCGCCATCCTTCAAGGCACGTGGAAGGCAAGCATCAAGACTGTTCTCTGTGCTGGCACCCAGGTGATGGAACAAACTCCCACTGGCTGTCCGAACAGCAAAGTCTCTTGCTGTCTTCAAACGCAGACTGAAGACACATCTCTTTATACAGCACTTAAATGAGCACTGAATTAAGTATTGATTGTAATGTATTGTACTGCACTTATGTATTGTATTGTACTGCACTGTGTTTAACTCTGTTCCTTTTTCTCTAGGTGTCAATAATGACTGTTTCTAGCAATATCTGAGCTCAGGACTGGCTTTCTCTCTAACCTATTGGTAACTAGCAAAGATACTTTCTCTGGATAGACAAAGCACTTTTTGTAAGTCGCTCTGGATAAGAGCATCTGCTAAATGCTGTAAATGTAAATGTAAATATTCATTTGACCAAATAACAGTTACAATTACATATTTCGTCTCTGATCTTGTGCTACCGTGACTCAGTTTCACTGCTCTCCCAGTTCTTTTTCTTCTTCGGTTGTTTAATGGGTAACAATAGCCTGCCTCAACTTCCTGTAATTGGTCTGAAATATTGAATCATCCCCACTGCAAACGAACTAAACCATGGTTCAGTCTGACCCAGACTGAGACCACCTCTTTTATTCGGAATAAATTTTGTCCCTTTGGTCCAGATAGTGTTCCAAGGTACCTTTCACACCTGCTATTATGGTTCGGATCAAACTAAAAAAAATCTGAAGGTCCAGATCAAAGAAAGTATGTGTAAAAGCACCCTTGAAGCAGCATGTCCTGGTCTTGTCAGAAGAGGAGCTCTTAAAGCTGCCTGGAAGAAGTTAAGTTTAGGTAGTCCTTGTGAAGGTCAGTGCCTTGTAGAAACCAAAGGAACTTGTGGTTGATATCTTTCTACCAGAAAGCTGACTCTTGCACACAGCCTGGCAGACAGACTGAGATGTATCGATGCACTTATTGACAAGTTCCTGGAAGGCGTTTCTGATTCAATGATCCAACCCAAATAAGCAGAGACAGGGCTAGTAGGACCTTTAGTTTGTTCCTTATGGAAGGTGAAAGTTATTGCAGCACCTGAACAGCACAAATTTACATTCTTTTCTTCTGTTTCTCAGCATAGTCACACATGTGCACACTAGGAGACGACAGATCATCATCCTGGCCAATACTCAGAGCTGATATTTATAATTTTTCCAATAATTGGAATTGGCATTTTAACTTCCTTCCTTGCCAATAAACAGGCTTTTACATGATAAATGTGCATCTCTAATGCAACCATGACTGAAAAAACACTTCTGGTTCTTCTGGATCAATGGCCCAGCCACAGCCTTAGAGATTGTTCAAAATAAGTATAATGTGTCGATTACAACCACACACACAATCCTCTCCAAACTGTATGTA